TCTCTCTCTCTCTCTCTCTCTCTCTCTCTCTTGCTCGCTCTCTCTCTCTCTCTCTCGCGCGCGCACGTTTTTCGCAGTTCGCGTTTTCGGCTCGTCCGCGTCGGGCACCGCGTGCGTGGTTTTCCTCAACGCGACACCGCGTCTCCGTTTCTCTTTCCTCCGTCCTCCACCATCACCACCACCTCCCGTTTTCCATCTGTTCCACATTTTCCCTCTTCCTTCCTTCCTTCCTTCCTTCGTGCCTTCCTCTCTCCCTCCTTCGCGCGATCGCGAGCGCCGTTCTCCGCACGTACATTCGCAATCTACGCGCGAATGAATTTCCGCGGCCTATTTCAGCCAATTAACCGGCCAGCATGACATCAGAGCTGGCCTCCGTTTCTCTCGTTGCATCGCGGCCCAGCATTCCTATTCAATTTGCGGGGTCTATCAGGACAGGGCAGGGTGGGGTGGAGTGCTGCGGGACGGACGAGCGAACGAACAAACGGACGGACGGACGGACGGACGAACCAAACACCCTCCTTCGTTCGCCCCGATTATCATCACCTCGTCAACCTCCGCTGGGACAATCCTCGCACACCGCGAATCTTCTTGAGTGATCTTCCCCTTCCCCTTTTCTCTCCGTCCCCCAACCCCTCGGTCAATCCGTTTGCGATGAGGGCGATTCTTTCTTCCCTCCCTGCGATCGTGTGCGATCGTTTCGCAGTCGTCCGACGTCCCAGTTAAGTTCGCCGATATTATCGTTCTCTCAGTAACGTACATACGTACAACGTAAGTTCGATATACGTCTCCCTCCTCCTCCCCAACATCGTTCGTTGTTATCTACCCCGAATTCTCCGGAGGAGTCGCGACGGCGTTCCTCTCGAACGTCGTCGAAATGCAGTGTGGATGTAAATAAAGAGGAAAAAAAAATGGAGGCTACCATCGGTGCCATCGGTCTCGCGCCCGCATCGCGATATTTCCGTCTTGCACTCGGGATGCCTTTGACATATCGATTCCGCCTTACGATTTTATCGTTCAAGTTATTTATACGTGTATATCCGCCTATCTGTACGCGTACGCGTGTCGTTTGTAAGTGACAAAAACTGTCCCGAAGGCGAGTAGCCCGTGAGGAAGTGAAAGCTTGAGGGAAAAGAGCGATTTAGAGCACAAGATTGCGCAAGATTAGATCTTACTTTATCGCCGATTATTTTAGGTTACTCCTGATATTACGGGGAGTTAAAGCTCCCCCTCCCCCCCCCCCTCCCTCCTGCTTTCTTTTCCACTTGGATTTTATTAATGATCGACAATTACAGCAGGATGGAATGGGTGGAGATCATCGAGCCGCGCACCAAGGAACATATGTATGCGAACCTGACCACGGGAGAATGCGTATGGGATCCTCCACCGGGTGTACCTGTGTAAGCTATTCCCCATATACAATTCTGGAGTAATTTTCAGCGTCATGATTAATATATATTGATTAATACATATAATTAAATCAAATATATTATGGATGTAACTAAGAATTGTGTAATTAGACATGAGATATTTGATCCTGACAATACGATATATATTTTCTTGCAGATTTGTATTATTTTTCTAACTCACTGACAGTATATTTTATATTGTCAAAGCTGAATTAAAATAATTTTAGGATTATAATTAAACATTAGATATTAATAAAAAATATATTTTCTGCCAGTGATTTAGAGAAATATGTTGAAAATATTAAATATCTTCTTGTAGAAAACTACATTCTATTTCATCTTTTCTAATTCATTGACAAATAATATATCTTATATTATATTCTTGAAGTAGGATTAAAATAAGAATGTAATCAGATATTAATCTAATTTTGATAATATGAGATTTTCTTTGCCAGTGAATTAGAAAAATAATACATCCAAACATATCAAATATTTTCTAGATAAGATATTTTCTAGATTTGAGTTTTACAATCTTCTTCAATTCACAGCAGATTGTATTTCGTGTGATCGAAATTGGAT